AAAGTTCAATAATTTTAAAAAAGAAAACTTAAAAAAAATTTTTTTAATAAATTTTATACAACTTGTGTTCTTTTTTTAAAGGGAGTTTTTGTTTTTAGCTAATAATTATTAAATTTTTTAATATTTAAAGAAACTTTTTTTTTTATATATAATTTACAAAACCTTTTTATTACCCCTAATAGTGAATCTAAAGAACACCATTTTGGAGTCTTTACATAACTTTCGTTCATTGGTGTTTACATGAATCCAGTTATAATCTTTTGAAAAAGTGCCTTAACCCACTATAGATCTAAGTTCTAATCATTAAGATGTGACAGAGAGCACAAAATACAAGTTTTTAAAAAACTGCATTATTATGCTGTTAAATTTGTTGAAAAACTGCACTAGAGAACTCCTTTGAAGGACATGGTATTTCAAATTGCAACATGTCTATCATACGGATAATAACAAAAAATTTTGATTTGCTAATTTCATCCAGCATGTTGTCAATCCATAAGTTGTAATATGTCCATCATATGTAAGTTGTATATGTCCATCCATAAGTTGTAAACAATGCCAAACTGAAGTTCTAATCAGTTCTACACTGAGTACCAAATTTGATACAAGTCAAAGAAAAAAAGATTTTTTAACAATTTAACAACAATTGAAAGTTTCAATATGCAATTTATTCATGTCTTTTGCTTTTAAAAATGTGTTTGCTATATTTGACATTTTCTCAATACTTATATAATAGGAGAATAATAAAATAAATTATGATTGTAAATTATATTATTTTATTAATAAATTGTGTAATAACAGAAGAAAATAAATAAAATAATAGCATGGTTTCTTTTATAAATGTATTTACCACATTTGATGCCCGTCTGAAATTGTGTCCAATTACCAACATTAATACGAATTACTAAATTAATATATATTTCAACTTGCCCAATTTCCAATGTTAACACAAATTACTAGAGATAATGAACATAACAAATTGCTCTATTTGAGAAAATGCATTTAAAAACTAAAAAAAGAAAAAAAATATAATAAAATAGGTTTAAAATATAATAAAAATAGGTTTAAAATATAATAAAAATATAATAAAAATAGGTTTCTATAGGTTTTGTTAAAAAAAGTTCAATTATTAATCAGGAAATAAACTATTGAGTTTAAATGCACAATTTGGAGAATCCAACTAAAGTGCAGGCTACTTCAATGGGGTTAGTGAAAACAACCAAATATTTTATATTTGAATATTTGTAATAATGACTTTTAATTTCTTTACATAAAAAACTTGTTAAAAAAGAAACTAACAATTACAAATAAATAGCAATTAGTTTTCTCGCTTTCCTGTGCACTGATAAAAAAAGTTTAGCAAAAAAATTTAAAAAACATTTTTCGAAATTGTCCATATTTCTTGTACAAATAGTATTTCCTTATTATAGTGACTAATAAAAGTTGCAAATAAATTGTATATCAAAAAATGTTTTTATTTTCTTTATATCTGCTTTTTTCCTAACGATCAATTCTGGTAGTAGAAAATAACAAACCCTCCAAAAAAAAGGAAACAAAAACAGTATAAATACCTAAGTTTATTATTTTTTTAACAAAACTTTTCTTTTTTTAATTTTCATTTTATTTTATTTAGATTTTCTATTTCATATGGTATTTGTTTCATTTCTTTGAGTATTGCTGTTTTATTCTCTGTTGTTTCATAAAGCTTTTTTTTGCCTAAAATTCTTGAAAGGCTTACTATACAAAAATGTGGTTAAGTTGTCTAAAATTACTTTAAATGTAAACATTTAAAGCCATCCCGGGGCGCACAACAAGGTGTGCACCCCGGGATGGCTTGGATATCTGTTTAAATTAAGGCTATTTGGAAAAAAGTATAATAAGATAATATAATTTATTATAAAACAAGTTAAGATGTTTTATAATAAATTACGATTGCAAAAAGCAGTTATTTTTACAATTAACAATGACAAAGAATGATATTTTTTGTCATTGTTAATTTTTTTTATGAATATTTTCCATATTAAACTCATGTAATTCCAGCTAAAATAATAAAAAACAAACATGAATAATAATATAATAAAAACAAACATAAATAAATCAGTGAAATTGTTTTATTCATGTTCTGTAATAAATCCCCACCCAGCCTTTTGATAAGTCTCCCCCTTTCCCGCCTCCCTTTGTTATTAGATCTGGACTAAAATTCCCACTCCCTCTTTTCTAGTTTAATTTTTCTTTAAATTTCACCTTCTTCAGACTAACAGCAGATATTTGAATCAAGATATACATTGCATAGTTTATGTCTGGGAATTTTTGATTTTTTTTTTTTTAAATGTCATTTTGGATATCTTTTAGCATGTCTATTATTATATCAGATGTATTGAGTTTCACTACTTGGCTATTGACATTTGACTGTGATAATCTTGACTTAATACAGCATTTATTCAAAGGATATATGCTGCACTTTTTGAAACCAGAAATCATGTTTTTTTTGGAGATGTTTCTAAATGATGTGACATTTTTTCCATTAACAGAGACATTGAGATCTGGAAATTTTGTTAAAGTTATTTGCTTCCTTCTATCATGTTTTTATCTCCTATGATGCTTTAGGGGAGCAATAAAAGCAATACCTAACAGTTGTAGGAGAGGAGCAGTTTTAGCTACTCATCTTCTACAACTTAAGACAGATGAATCTTCTTACAATCTTAAGACAGATGAATGTGATATCATACTCTTCACAGCATTGAACACTTTTTCAGAGAAGTGCGGTGATAAATTGTCACCAATGATAATTTTAGTTCCTCATTTGTTTTAAATATATGGACTTATTTTAAAAACCAATTTTTAAAGTAAAAAGTATCAAACTATCCACATTCACAAACCATTCACTTTTGCTTATAAATAGTTTTATCAGGTCCACCTTCCAACCAAGTATCCAACAAATGTTCTGATTTATAAACAACATAAATGGGTAAAGGTACCATTAGCAGTTCCAACTAATTCAGCAAAGTTCCAGTCTCATCATAGTTGATGATGCAGTCAGGTGAAACATTTATCATATTTTTTCAACATTATTGAAGAAGTTATCAGTTATATTAGATGAAGTTTTTGCTTATTTTGCTAAATTTTGGCAATATTTTCAATTAAGATAATGAAATTTTTTAATTTGTTTTTAAAGACTAGAAAGTTATTCAACAAATCAAAATTTGGTAAAACAATTCCAGAGATACTTATTTTGCTAAGTTTTAGCAATATTTGTTGCATATCTATTTAACAAAGCATGTTTGTTACGTTTTAAAAAACTTGTTGTCCACTCTTTTCCTGGAAAGTTATTTTTTAAAATTTATACTTTCCTTTCAGTTTTATTCAAATATCATTGAGCCAATTTTCAAATCTAATAAATCAAATGGCAATCCCAACTCACAAGTAATTTTTAAGTTGTAAACTATTTTCCTGCTCAACACTAAACGTCATAGATTTGCTGATCAATTTTTATTCTATAGTTTCTACTCAGAGTGAAAACTGGAATTTTATATTTCTTTTAAGTATTAAAATGAATGAGTTTTTTGCTTTGCACTAAATAAATAGCCTTTTGCAGATCGTTTTATGCTTTGTATACTTCGTATATAGAACTGTTGTATGCTTTGTATACTTCGCCATTCCTCACCCATCTATTGCATTTATTATACACTAAATCAAATGTAGCATATACATTATATATATATGTATATATATACATACATACATATATATATATATATATATATATATATATATATATATATATATATATATATATATATATATATATATATATATATATGTATATATATATATATATATATATATATATATATATATATATATATATATATATATATATATATATATATATATATATATATATATATGTATATATATATAAATTGTCAGATTGTTATCTAATTTATTGAGTGGTTTTTAAAATATTATTATTACTTTATTTTTTGTTCAGGAATAAAGTTAGTCAAGTAATTTTTTCAAATTTAAAAATATGTTTGTTTTACTCGAAAGTTTTAATCTAAAACGGATAAAGATAACACCTGTTACTATTTTATTTTAACAATAGACAAGTAGTTTAATAAAAAAAATTGCAAACATAACTACTTAATGTAAGAAATATTTAGCAAGCAGTTTAAACAAAAAAAAAAAGAGTTGTTTCCAATTAGAATCATACTTTCGGATTCGAATTTTAAAAAACCGGACCGCAAATCTGGTTTTGCTCAACCCTATATATTGTGGTATGAATTTTTTTTTAATTATTGTCTAACTAGTTATGTTATATTTATTTTTATATTACATTTTACTATTATAATTAATTAAACTAATTATACTTGGAAAAAAAAAAAAAGCTATCCAATATCTATTTCTATTTAAATGCATGATAAAGAAGTTGATTAAGTTTCAGACACTTCAGCAACTCCAGCTAAACAATGATGTTCCGCATTATGTTTAAATAAGAACATATCAATAGGTTGATAGGATAAAATCAATCTTAAAAGCTATAGGGTTATCAACTTAAAAACTATATATCAACTTAAAAACTATATATCAAAAAGCATATCAATTTAAAAGTTATAGGGTTATCAACTTAAAAACTATATATCAACTTAAAAACTATATATCAACTTAAAAACTATATATCAAAAAGTATATTAACTTAAAAGCTATAGGGCTATAAGAATTATTGTTCCCTGACAACAGCAACGAAATCTTGCAATCCTTTTTTTGTTATTTTCCTAGTAATTCTTTAAGGATTTTTTATCTTACTTTTAGTAAATAATGCGCTATACCAATTTTGTTAAAATAACGTGAAAATGGGAAATTCATTTTACGAGTTTATTTAATCTCGTTCCTTTTTTTGTAAAAATCCTTTTTTTTTGTTTTTATTTGAATTATATGAATATATTTTTTTATAACTATTTTTCAGATATCTCTGTACAGTTGTTGTTCTTGTATTTATTAAGATAAATTTAGTTGGGACATTTAACGCCATACGGATCTTATCGGAGTCTATGTGTACAAATGAACCAAATGCAAACGGTGAAAGAGGGGTTATTGTAAACACAGCAAGTGTAGCTGCTCATGAAGGGCAACGCGGTCAGGCAGCGTACTCTGCATCCAAAGGCGGCATTGTAGGCATGACGCTTCCTATTGCAAGAGATTTGGCAGAGTATGGAATTCGTGTGAACACTATTTCTCCAGGTAACAATTTATTTATTTATACAGTTTCTGTTTTTATTTTTTCTATCTATATTACAGTTTTTTGATTTTAGGACTATTTAATACACCAATATTTGAGAGTCTTCCTGCAGCTGTTGTTGAAAAACTATCCAAAACCGTTCCTTTTCCTCAACGATTAGGTAATCCCGATGAGTATGCTCAATTGGTTGAAGCGATATTTACCAATCCAATGTTTAATGGCGAAACTGTTCGACTAGATGGCGCTATCCGAATGCAGCCGTAAAATTTCTTGCACAATATTGTTTGTTTTAATTGTTTTTTATCTATTTTTTGAAAGAAATTATCATGGTTTTCATAACTCTTTAGATAAATGTTTTGAAACATTAATTCAGTATAATGTTATCCAAATAACATTTTTTATAATATTTTTTTCCTTTTTTTCTTTATTTCATTACAAAAAGAAGACAATGAAGTTCGATGAAAAGATAAAAATAGATTTGTTTATATTTCTGTTAGTTATACATAGATTATAGATGACAAGATTAGGGGTGTTCGATTTCGCTTTCTAACCTTTTTCGGAAAGTAGTTTCCTCTAAAAATTAAATGATTCTTTGAAATTAAATGATTATTTTTTTAAATTTTCTTTATTTAAAAAGGTTTCTTTTTTACAAATGTTGATTATATAGGGGAGACCGGGGCTAGCTGACAGCAGGGGTATGTTGACGAACTGCGTTTATCTTCAGAGCCTTTCATCAGAAAGTGACAAAAATTACACAGAACCTTTCTAATTGATCATTTTATCATTCGCTATAGTATTGTTAGATTTGGCGGATGCGCATGGGAGATATTAGGATTTATGTGTTTTTTCGACAAAAACGTAACTTTTGGAACATCGCTTCCTTTTTACTTTACAAAGAAAATAGTCGTATGAAGAAAAATTATTGTAAAAACTACAGTCACAATTGGTTTACTATTTCTAGTCAGACTTTTTTCAATAGTTTCCGTTTTTCAGAAGCGATAGATTGTTTATTGAAATAAAGGCTTTTGGGGTAAGTTGGCTCATTGCGCGTAAGTTGGAATCAAAACAAATGTCAAAAAGCGATTGAATAATCAAAGTGAAATTGACTAATCGCGCGAGAAATTATTCAAAAAAATCTTCAAAAAGTGTTTAATGGTTTGAGGACAATGTTTTATTAGAGTTATGTAATAAAAAAATAAATCAGTCTCCTCAAAACAAGGTTGAAACAAAGAATGAAAATAAAATCTCCTCGGAGTTCATATAACAACATGTAATATATGAGCTAGTTTTGCAATCAGTTCGATTTTTTTTTTAATGTTCAACTCTTTATTATTATCATAATTAAAAGTGCATCTTTGTATGCAAAAGTACTTCACCAGTAGTCTCGTAAAGCTGAATATAATCTTTGTATGCAAAAGTACTTCACCAGTAGTCTCGTAAAGCTGCATATAAACTTTGTATTTGAGTATGCTTCAAAGTTAAGGTTATTATAATTTTACGAGTAACACGTTTATAGATCTTTTCGAATTTTCTTTAACACATTTATTTTTTTTCCATTTCTTTGAATTAACAACAAATAAAACCCCATTACCAACATAAACTTTATTAGAATTTTGAGAATTTTACGAGTGAAAATGTGTTTGATCATTTTAATACCTTTTAAATGCTCCGAAAAGTACTATAATAAAATGAATTTCCCAGGTTGAAGGCAGACAGAAAATATTTTAAATAGCAAATGCAAGTTAAAAAAGTTAGTAAACTCATACTCTTCAAGACTGCATTTTGATATTTACAAAAATTTTTTGTCAGGGCTACAGAGTAAGGACCAGCGAAGTCGACTTTTTAAGACCCGAATTTAACCCAAATTTAAAGACGAATTTAGACCATATGCGTACACCGAATTTTACTGAAAGTTGATTTTGGGTCATATATGTGACCCGAATTTAAAAATACATTTAATTGAACTAGAAACTTTATAAAAACCTTTATAAATTTTATAAAACATTTATATCTCGCTTCGAATTGGGTTTTTTTCTTCTAAAGCAAGAAGCTAACCACCGCTCTAACCACTGCGCCACGGCTGCTGTATAATCATTACTTATAACCAAAATTATTATTTTTTTGCTTCTAATCAGGGCAGTCCCATAGAGATTTTAAAGGAAGGGGGGAAGGAGGTGGCGTAGCTGTTTTTTGCCAACAAATCGCGAGGTTAGAATTATTTTGTTGATTTAAAAAACAAAAACTTCAAGAGACGGCATATAAAATAATTTTTATTACTTATTCTCCAAAACTCTTTTGATTTTAACTTAGGTTTTAATATAGTAGAAAAACATTATTTTGAGGTACATGACACAGTCAATAACTCGATTTTTTCAAAAAGTGGAAATAGAACAAAATAATTCTAACCTCGCGAAATGCCAAGAATAACTTTTTTGAAAAAAAAAAGGTTTTCGTCATCTGACATTATCTAACTCTTCTTCTGTTAAAGTCGATCACAGAAAAGAGGAGTTCCACCATATTCTTTGTTTTTAACTTGTCTTTTGAACCTGTTCCACGTTGTTTTGAATTTAGAATGAATTGATTCTCAGCATTGTTCAGCAAACCTAGATAATCCACAATTGTGGTGTTCAACAAAAGGTTGCACATGAAACAAATATATATGTACTATCCAACTTTTTGAAATTTTCATCCCAAGAATATATGCAATTTCTTGAGCACGTAAAAAGGAATTCTTAAGTATTTATATAGCTTGTTAGTATCCAAGCTCAAGTGTTCTACCAAAGCAAGAACCTTTTACAACTTTAAAGTCTTTCAAACATTGAACAATTGGAACAAAATCAGGAAGCTTGGATAAAACAACTCTTTACAACTTATCAACACAGGATATGTAATTTAGGGGAGGTACTAAATGTTATATTAAAGTATCTAGAGCTTCATCAAGCTAGTGAATTCTTGAAATTATCACATTCATAAAATATTTTATATTGGATTATTTTGAACTATTATTGACAGTGTATCTTTGGTACCAATAGTCAAGGTTTCCAAGTGTTTGCAATTTATCACACACTTCATTATTGTCTCCTTCACACCAAAGAAAAGCTTTTTTTCCTGCATGACTTGAAATTCCAAAAACTGCATTAGCAATTTCAAATCAAAAGTGGCTTAAAAGTTAACATCTTGTAAATTGAGTTTCTCTAAAATTATTCTCAAATTGAAGTTCGATTCTTGCACATCTTCAACTATGGAAATAATTTGACAGCGCTGTACACCACTATTTAAGTATAAATTTGAAGTTGTATCTTCATTAACATCAAAAACAACAATAACCTTCATGAAACCACCTCCTCCATCCATAGAAATCCAGCCGACTGGAGGTCAAGACGACGCTGGTTTATTTAACTCAGATTGAAACTAGATGTGTCTTGAACAAAAACAAGGTCTTTTATAGTTGAACCATCAGTGCTGTATAAATTTGATTGTCAAGAAAGTTGATCTGGAAAATAACAATAAACTTTAGAAAAACTTTCAACGCTTTATATAATTTTGAATACTAAAAGACATATAATTGCTACCTTTTCTACTTGATAAAGATGTGATATGAACTCTTCTAGGTCACTTATTTTTCCAAAAATGTTGTTTTCTAATGCTGCCTTACTTCCAATTCTTTTCCAAAGAATAGATAAGAATAGATACTATTTGAAGTTCCTTAATCACCTGAAAAGATACTTGCTTTACTGACCTAGGTATAAATAAACAAAAAGTAAATATCAGCTCATTTTATACATATGTACGCGACAGTTTAAAGGTACTTCCTTTTTGCTTTGTTTTCAAAACAACCAAATGTAAGCGTCAATGGGTTTCCACCAGAAGACAAAACAAATTATTCCCCTTGGCAATTCCATCATTTTTCATTTTTGCTTTAATTAAACCAGACGCAACTTGCTCTGCTTGCAAACTTCCTAGACTTGATGCATCAGATTCTTTACTGCAGATAAAGAAGAGCAGTTGTGCACATGTCAATAAGTTGAAAAACATATACTATATTATTTAGATGACATATTTGAGTTTGATGAGTTGTTGAAGATAAAGCTGTTCTTGTCATCATCCACTTGGGCCACTTGGGAATTGCAATTGTGATATTTTATATATTGCTTGCGCTTGTGAAGTTGCGTAATTTTTTAAAACAACTTTTAAAGTGATAGTTGTATAGCTATAAAAACTAGAAAAAGGGAGAAGTTTCCTAGTCCTCAACCAAAAACACAGGTTAAAAGAATAAAAAATTACTGCAACATTATCTTCAACTCCGTGATCTGTATCCAAGAAAACCAATTAAAGAGATGGTGTCTTGCTCTCTTCAAAACAAAATTTTTAGTTTTTTTTTATATAGTTTTACATGTGTATCAATCCCACCATTTGTTGTCAAATGGGTACAGAATATGAATTATTAAATTACATCCACAAAAAATTCCTCAAAAAATTCCTCGAACACATTTGTTCCCTTTTTAATGTAATTGGACAAAGATTATTATTTTAACAAATTTCTTCTAAATTATCTTGCGTTGAAGATGGTGCTAACTTTGAGTTTAGATCTCCTTTCTAGAATCTTTTTTCCTTGGAGAAGAACAGGATTTTTCTGATTGTCCATTATGTATGTGTTAATCAGTTTGAGGAACATTACATTAACCTGAGTAAATCTGAGAAGAAAGTTGGAGCTGGCTATGAAGCATTGCGGAAGAGGTTTAACATTAAACTTGAAGGTAACATGTTTCAATATAGTAATCTCTGTCAATATAAAATAATTATTTAATTCAATTTAAAAATTTTCTGTTGGTTGACTTTATAAAATTTCTGGATTAATTAAGAAAATAAGTCAAAATATGTGAAGTGAGCATGGCTAATTACATTTGCTTTGATTATCTTTTGAGGAGCATATTAAGAGTTTTAAAACAACAGTTGTTTTTATCAAGGTTTGTTTTGGGCAAGTTTGGATATGAATCTTCTGAAAAGAAGTCTGGAATCTAGTAGGTTAAGAATGACCGAGGACAACTTAGAGGATGAAACTTTTATTCATGATCAGATGACAGACAGAAAGATGTTGATTGGTAAAGTCGATGGAAGGTTTGAGTTTGTTGCACAGAGATCGGAAAGACGAAAGAAGGAGTAAAAACCAACTGCTTTTGTTAAGGCTAAATCTAACACTGTTAACCTTGAATTTGCATCAGATACAATAGACAGCGAACCTAATTCTGATGACAAAAATTTTGAAATACCACAGGAAAAGACTTTAGAATAAATTTTAATTATGCTTAAGAATATGGAGGAGCATGCACGAGGTTGGCTCATTTTTATGACCAACCATTGCTTATGT